TACAATTATATCTCATTAAAAGAAGGGTTTAGTTATCTTTTAGAGTTCTTGAAAAACTGGTTTTCCAGAAAACGGGGTCTTCAAGAGTCATCGGTCCGAACCCTTTTAGGATTTTCTTGGTCTCACTGAGTCCTACTTATAGCCAAAATATGGAGTCAAAAGGCGTCCGACAGTTGGATAGGTTCCCTCGTTAGAAAAGTTCTCTAGAGAGATACAATCGAACGTCAAATGTTTAGGCTATTTGGGGGATATCTAAGACATTTAATATAGTCAGGATATCTAGCGTATATACTCACCTCTCCCCGTCTCTTGGTCGGAATGGATAAGCTACATCTCTGAATTCTGTGGATCATTCATACGACTAGATATTTTATTTCAAAATGTAATGTTCATGTCCAATGTTACACAGTTAGAGTTCTAATGAGTTTAAAATATTGTATGAAATAGATGTATGTGATTCGAGTATCTTTCAGTTTTTTAAAACTAATAAAAAGTAGCAAATAAAATTTCGTTACATACCAAAGCACTCTGCTATCGTCTTGTTCATCAAGTTTTGTTAACCATGAACTCAGATCAATAACTGGTGCAAGGTTATATTTTCTATTATAATAATTAGCAATAGCGCGATCTGTTTGAGCGAAATCCATTACTTTTACACATGCAGATATGTATTGGTATGGTACTAAAAGCTTATGTGTGTTGGTTGCATTCTGCACAATTCCTTGAACGTAAGGTAAAGAGAAAGAAAGAAAAAAACCCTGAGAAGGTTGTTCTTTTTTTCTTGTATATGTCACCCACATGTTTGAATGTCTTTATGATTATATTATAAAATATTCATTGCCGTGGCCTCTTATGTCGAGTTATCTATTGATTTTTACTCATTATTTGATATCACTGAATCAGTCCTTGTTTTTTGTTTAAAGCCGTAATAGTCATATGTTTTCTACTCTTAAGGTTAAAAAAAAAAAGAAGAGCTAACATAAAAGTTTTCACTAATGATTCTAGAACCTCTATTAACTATCTCAAGCAATGCATATAACATTGCGTTTTTTTCCGGTTTTCTCCTCAAATGCATAAGATTTTAGCATGAAAATTTCCATCGACAATGTGACGTTATAGAGCTAACTAATCTTGAACTTTTATCCCAAAAATATTAAATTATATATAAAAACAGTGGATTTTACATGACCTACTTTTATTTGTGATAAAATCTTGATTGTGTCAATGTAGATAGAGAACAACTTGCATTTATGAAACTTTTACCAATTTATGAATGACCTTTTCTAAATATTTTTCGTCGAACACCTCTGACAAAACAAATACACCTGAAAAACTCTATTGAGGCCTCTATATGATAGAAGGAATAATTCTCTTCAAAATAAGATGTTTTCGAGCTCTGTAGCTTCTTTTATTCACGAAATATGACCATTTTAGTTTTTCTCACCGTTTATGCCATAAATGTCGTATACAATTTTTTATTTAATTTATTTTCAAAACTCTTTTAAAAAAATAGAACAAAGTCTAAAACATTCATATACCATGAACAAAACAAACTATAGAGCTCGGGAAAATCTAATTTTGAAGTTCAAATTCAGTTTTATTTAGTATAAGCAAGAATATCACGAAAAAGCCAACATTTCGTGACTTATAATGTCTAATAAACAGAAGCCTTAGTGGTTAGAAAGACTCTTATTCTCTTATTTAGTCCTTTATTTGTCTATTTAGTTAAACAGGTATCATTAAGACTGCTATTTACAGGACGTTTTAAGGTGCTAAATGTTTACTTTTTCGTGATATCCTTCCTTATACTAATAAAGTTGAACTTGAACTTCAAAAATTAGATTTTTCCGAGCTCTGTATAATGGCTGGAAATGAGCATTAGAAACGGATCGAGGTTTAAATAAGCCGGAAACATGTGTCAGTTTTCGTTTTAAAAAAATCCGAACAGTTGGTATATATTTTTCTTCAAATCCCTAAATTTTTCTTTTCTACTCTACAAACTCTTACGAAACAAAAAACAAAAATCTCTAATAACTTCGAAAAAAAATTCTGGTTACACCACTCAGAAAAACCGTAAAAAGTTTTCACCATTCCTTTTTGGCTAGTTTATAAAGTCTTACTGTTAGCACTGGATTGGAGCAGCTAAAGGCTGCGCTGGTTCATATTCTGACTGACAATTGTCAATGCATTTGAGATTATCCGTTCTTGTGAAACAAAATCTTCCATTTCATCAATCTTCAAAACTCATCGTGTAATGAGGATAATGAGAAATTATTTTATTTATTTATTTATTTATTTACAATAGATATGAAGAAATAAAAAAAAGAGCTAAACCAACCTAGTTGAAATTTCAATGTCGACGTATTTTTAGTGCACGACGATAATATTTTCTATTCCTTAAACGATGATGAGCTCGACCTTTTTTTGTAAAATCAAAAGGATTTGCTAATTGTAATTCTGGTGGTCGTGGTATAACATTTCTAATAGCCCATATACCTGTACCATGTACCATATAATTCCAATCTGTTAAATATTTATATGGAATAACAAAATAGCCTTCATCACCCTATAAAAAATGTTTAAATATTTTTTAAATTAAATTTAAATTTTAAAATAATAATAATAAATACATACCCATTCTTCTCCCCAAGAATTTCGTACAAGAAATAATTGTGTATTATCATTATAACCAACAACAAGTACAGCATGATTTTCATCTTTACCAGCATTACGTAAATAACCACCATTTACTTTTTGTATATCATCAACATTTAATAATGATGTATGAAAACCCACAACAAATGGTAAATTATTATTTAAACATTTTTTCATACTATGTATAGTTGGTTCTACTTTTAAAGGTATAATAGTAACTTCTGCTGCTCGACGATATGCTTCAATTGATGGACGTTGTATAACTAAAATTTTTTTATGTTGCCAATATTTTTCTTCACATACACCATATCGTACAACACCTTCAATAGCATCATTTATACTACTACCCGTTTCTTCTTTTAAATGTACAGTTTTTTCTCCAATAACCATTGCATTGAAATATATAAATAAACGACTAACATCAACATGTACACCAGCATAACGTTTATATAAATATTCAATAGCACCTAAGAGAGAGAGAAAAAAAGAAATGATATTTTTTAATAAATTTTGTAGATAAATGAACAAACTTACCAGCAATCGCTTCGGCGGCACTAAATGCACAATGATGACAATAATAAGTAAAGCGGATAAATCACTGGAATAATAAAAAGCCAGCAGTTCAAAGTTCAGCAAGATATTTTTTTTTTCTCTCTCAGTTAGACTGAGCTCATCAGATTATCTAAAAAAGAGCAAATTTTTAGATTTTAAAAAATCATTTTAGAAAAAAAGTTATGAAAAGTCACGCTTTTTAAAGACATTAGTGGATTTTGATCTAATAAAGCATTTCAACAGATGAAATATCATCAATGATATACTCAAATCCAATAATTGATCAATTATTCCATTTAGAATTTATGATCAAAGAAAATTATGGCTAATAATTACTTTGAACATAAATAAATTTCAAAAATCTATGAAAATAACTAAAATTTTTATCTTTTTTAAAATCTTCAAAACTATTTATTTTAATTCATACCATCGGAAACTGTGTCAAATACCGTTGATTGATCTTGAAAAAGTTTATCGTGTGCCAACGGTCATTTTTTTTCTCGAAAATGTTGACAAAAAACTATAGCATTCAACTCACAGTTTTTTTTTATGCTGATTTTGATTTTTATCTTCATTTTGTTTCGAGATTGATTTTCAACTGTGAAAACTGTACTGCTTACAGTCACTAGTATTATCGTTCAGCAAAATATGATTTTTAACGAAATGGAGTGCTTGGAAACGTTTCTTCGTTGATCAAAAGCTTTATATATGTTTGCAAGATATGCAGGTAGTAGTTCAATGGTTCTACCCAATGTTTAGAGAAAACTGAAGTGACAGTTCAGAATGACCACGAGCATAATGACTATGATATTCAAAATTAGCATCTACGATTACATACAGCCTTGCATATTGCGGGGAAAAAACTGTGCGTCATTTTGAACAGGTGCTCCCGTCAGTTTTGCGTGAAAAATCTGAATAAATAATTAGTCCGTAGTTCTAGTAAAAATGTGTAACGGATGATTATTTTGCTTATCATTAAAAATTTTACTCTTTTGTACCCAAGTTTTCAACATTTCAGAATTTTTATTTTCCCAAACGATAAAGTCAATAATGGACTTCTTCATACATAGTTAGACTGAGCATTGATGTTAAAAAATAAAAATAGAAAAAAATTATTTTTGCTGAACTTTTGAATTGCCAACACTTTACTCAAGTTAATGATAACATTTAAACTCACTAACCAACTTCCCATGTCTCCTTGTTGTTCTATTTTTGTCATCCATGGTCTTAAATTAACACGTGTACGTAAACAATATTTTTGTTTATAATAATTAGCTATAATTTGTTTAGTAAAATTCATTTTATTTAAAATAATACTAAAATATATCTAACGTTCTTTCAACTATTCACTCATACAATTCCTTGAATATAATCTAATATAACCATCAAAAAGAAAAAGAAGAAAGATAAAATAAATAATAGAAGGTTCTTTTTTTTATCAATACATATCATTATAGATTTTATTATCTGAGTTATAGGTACACATTAATCTTCATTGCCTTACTGCTTTCTTCTTTTTCTCTTTCTTCATTAGAATAGAAAAACGGAACATTAACCCTCATCAATATAAATGTTTGATTAACCTTTACAGTACCAAAGTAACATAAAAACGCTCTAAAAGATTTCAAAGGTATAGTTTAAAGTATTTTATTTAAAATGAGAAGTAATAACTAGTAATGATCACAAGCGAGTGAGGGACACTCATGATAGCGATCATTATTTCGTATAGATGGAAAGCAGAATATAAGCAACAACAAAAAGAGTGAAAAACTAAAAAAGGAGAGAAAAAAATGAACAGAAAAATAAGAAACACAAGTCTTACATAAATCTTGTTTAGAAATCAGTATAAGCTGTAGTTGTATGGGTAGGCAATACGCTAGGATTTAGAATTTTATTATGCTCATTCTGAATATGTTTTCAGAAGTTCTGTAAAACACTGCACGTGCAATGTGGAACACGTCAAAAATTTATCTGGATGAAAATAAAAATTTAAGTATTTTCTCATAAATATGATTCAATGTAAATAAACGTCTTAGTCTACTACTATCCATTTCAATGAACAATGGAGTCGGTTGTAAGTTGAATAACTCCGGATAGGAAGCAACTAGAGACCTGCGACTTTCAACATTCGAAAGAGAATAATATTCTTTATTAAGAAATATCGAAAGCTGATGAGTTTTCGCTTGACATATTGGGCACTGCCTGGAGAAAAGATTTCCCGTTGGATGTGAAATTCTAATACAGCCATTCGATAGAGAAAATTGTTCTCTATTGATGTACACAAGGCCCAGCTCTTTAACTTGTGCTGTTCAGGAAATATAAGTAGTTTCCTGAGAGCCCCGATTTCGGCCAGCTGACCTTGGTTCACTCCAAAACAACCTCGAAATATAGGTAATCGATCATGCTGAGTCGAGTGGTGATGTTTATTTTCAGTTTTGAAGCGAATTAATTCGCTAGATTAAACTTTTTTGAAATATCGATTAAATACGCCGCATAGTGCGACATAACGTCCGAATATAAAAATTTCAGAAATATTTAATTTAATGATTTCAATCGCTTTAAAACTTAAATCAATATCACCACTCGACTCAGCATGATCGATTACCTATATTTCGAGGTTGTTTTGGAGTGATCCAGAGTCAGCTGGCCGAAATCGGG